CTCTCCTCCCCCTCCCCTCACCCCCTCCCAGGAAAGACCGCTCTGACGCCGTGACTCCTCTTTCAGATTGCACTTCTTCATGCCCGGCTTTGCTCCGCTCACGTCCCGCGGCAGCCAACAGTACCGCGCGCTCACCGTGCCCGAGCTCACCCAGCAGATGTTCGATGCCAAGAACATGATGTGCGCCTGTGACCCGCGTCACGGCAGGTGCGACCCCCGGACCCCTCGCGAGTCACCCCCGTTCCCACCGCCTCCCTCCCCGACACCCTCCCCTTCTGCAGGTACCTGACGGTAGCGGCCATCTTCCGCGGCCGCATGTCCATGAAGGAGGTGGACGAGCAGATGCTCAACGTGCAGAACAAGAACAGCAGCTACTTTGTCGAGTGGATCCCCAACAACCTGAAGACGGCCGTGTGCGACATCCCACCCCGCGGCCTCAAGATGTCCTCCACCTTCGTGGGCAACACTACCGCCATCCAGGAGCTGTTCAAACGAGTATCGGAGCAGTTCACCGCCATGTTCAGGTGAGTACGGGTGGCTGTTAAGCCCATCCATGGAAAAAGACGAGCGTCCATGGCCTCAGAAATGATACTACCAAGTACAGTCTAGTACAGCCCGACACACCGGCGAAGGTCACCTGCGACCTGACTGAAATGTGGGTAGAATGTCGGCAACACTGTTGCTGCTTGCTGCTGCTCGCGTCCACGCGCGGCGGTGGCGGCCAGTGGCGGCGGCGGCAGGCGGGCTGCGAGCCCCTGCGGGGTGGGCAGCCCTCCGGCAGCCCGGCGCGGCGGGCCTGCCTACCGGCCGGAGCGCGGGGGTTCCTCGCTCACCTGTGACAGCTCAACGGCTCACGCTTCTCTCCTTCCTCGTTCCAGGAGAAAAGCCTTCTTGCACTGGTACACCGGGGAGGGAATGGACGAGATGGAGTTCACCGAGGCCGAGTCCAACATGAACGACCTCATCTCCGAGTACCAGCAGTACCAGGACGCCACCACCGAGGAGGAGGGCGAGTTCGAGGAGGAAGAGGAGGAGTAGCATGACGTCAAGAGAGAGAGAGGATGGGAGAAGGGGTCTGGGGGAAGGCAGCGAGCGGTCACTCGTCTGTCTTCCTCATTTTATTTTTTCAACTTATAGCATGGGCAAAGCGGGCCAGAACCAGAGCGGCGCCCGGTGCAGGCATCCCGATTTGATTTAAATTATTTCTCTTTAAATTTTTATTTTTTAAAACAATTTAAAAAAAAACTTTTAGTCGGGCCATGCTGGCTGTCATAGCTGGATGATAAAGAATTTAGTTCCGCAGACTCGTTTTAATAGTAGATGCCAGTAAATGAAAATGGAAAAAAATAATAAATAAAACTATAAAAAATACAAAGTAAAGAAAAACCAGTCTGACAGCCAACATTGGGCAGGGCCTTTCGCGGTTGACGAAAAGCGGGATGCCTCTACCGGTCACCAGTGATGGGGCGTATCGACAGCGGGCAGTCAAACAAAAATTCTATTGAAATCCATTTTTTAACGTACATTCTCAAAATGCTCATCCCTTGTTCGGCGGGCGCACGACGGCGCTTCCGCCTATGGGGCCCGGGTCAAGGAAGGATCCGGCCCGGCAAACACTGTATCATCGACCACGTACTCGAATCCCTTTTGTGCGCGTCAGTTCTTCATGTGTTCTAAAATGGTTGTCAATAAATTAAGCTTGGAAAATCAATTACTCTTCACACTCATCAGCACATGATATATAACAGTGCCGAAATGTTCACGCTCTATCAAAGTAAAACCACAGGGACGGCCGAGATGTGTCGTAAAAATAAAAAAAAGTACCCCCTCCCCCTCCTGGCTGCTAACGGAGACCTCAGCTTTGGGTCCGACCTCGCAGCTCTGGCCTACTTTACCTTCCGGTGACCTCGGGCTGAGCCTCGGGCTCGCGGTCTATCGACGGCATGGTGCCCCGCTGCTCCTCGCGGTCAGCGCGGTGCGGCGCGAGGTCAGGGGACGGTCGGCGGTGTGGTGGACCTGCCCCAAGCACTGTGCTTATCACTAGGCAGCTAGCTGGAAATAGGGGCCGAAGCCGCAAGCTGCCTGAGAGATGAGCCAGAGTGCAAGGGTACAGTAGCGACGTTCAGCGGCAGCAGCGGCAGCAGCGGCAGCAGCAGCAGCGGCAGCGGCGGCAGCAGTGGCAGCAGCAGTGGCAGCAGCAGCAGTGGCAGCAGCCGGGGGAAGCACCAGTCCAACGCAGCGGCCGGCCGGCTTGGGGGTGCGTTGTCGACAGGCACATGGGGGCGCGGGGCTGCTGGGTCCGAGGAGATGTGAACAGTTGTGCTCCCGCCGCAAGACTGCAGTAGCATGGAGAGGTCCTGCATGACCTAGCGGGACAAGCCTGACACGCCCCCTCCCCCCCTTCCCCTTATTCCCCCCTACTTCCCGCCCCTTTGCTCCTTCCGTCCTTTCCGGCCCGTTCCTTATCCCAGGATAAGTTTGTCTGCGGGCGGCGGGCCGCGTTCTGCGTATGTGATTGGGATAAGGAGTGGAAACAGACTTGGCTTCAAGCTCTGTGTAGCCGATAAACACTTTCTGGTCGATGAGCGTTGACGCCCCTCCGATCCGAAAGGGCGGTTCTTGCCTTCAACCTTGCGTGCGTGGCTATATGCCATGCGTGTTCGCGCGGCCCGCGCTCTCAGCCCCCCAAAAAAGTAAGAAGTAAAAAAAGATGTCGAGACTGCCATGCAAATTATGTAGCTGTCCTCGTCTCGGTCCGCGAGCGCGCCTCTGCTGGGTCCGGGCGGCCCAAGGGGCGGCCGGACTACATTGTGTGTCCCAGCGTGTGTCTGCTGGCCGGGCCGACACGCGACCAAGATAAGCCCCCTGGCCACTGGCCATCCCTATCGCGACGCTGACGCTCCCGGTGACCTGACGAGGCCCGCGGGCGCGCCAGCCCAGCCGTGCCGCCCCCGCGGCGCGGGGCACAAGCGGGAGTTAAACTCATGGACCCGTGTCGTAAAGAGTGAACCCCGCTTTGGTCTTCGAAGATAGTTCCTTTGGTGTGCGAGGGGAAAAGACACGGAGTGGTACCATTGCACATGGGAGCAAGTACCCAGGCGCGGTTTAATAAGGCCCAACTGACGGGGGCGAGGGGGATGTGCACGGTTGATTGCATACATACAGCTGTTTAGTTGGGTTTTGTAGCGCAAATCGCCTATATCCTTCACGAGGCTCACTAGAGAGGCGTGAGGCGTAGGGCAAGTGTGGGACGCCCCCGCCCCCTCCCACGGCTTTCACCGCGTTTGGAAGTACCACGGTACCTTGCGTAGCGGGGTTTGCGCGAAACACTGATACTGCTAGCTCTGATTGGGGCTTTGCTATACCGGTGACAGGGTTGTCCTCGTAACAGTGGGGGGAGGGGGTCTGGTTGACCCGATAATGTAAGTGACATCGAACCGTTTGTGGGTAGCCTTGCCTTCGTGAAGGCAGGTCGGCCGGTCCATGTCCGGCACAACAGCGTATCGAAGTTCGTCGTATCAAATGACCTTCGTCCGCCTTCAATGGCAGGCCGGTTCACGATCGATGTCACCGATAGCGACATGGAAAAGGCCGAGAAGGGGAAGGGTTGTGGACACTGTGGGGCCGGGAGGGCGGTGCCAGGAGGG